CCAGGAGTTGTTTGTCTTCCCAGTTCGCCAGTTGTGTGCTCTTCTCCACAACCCAACCCCCCGGGCTTCGCTGCGGCAGCTCTTACCACGGCCACAGCACCTTGGTGCTGCCCCAGGGCCACTTGCCTTCTCATCCTGCGGCTCCTCCGCCGGGTGTGCCATTGAGACACACCATTCCCTAGACCCCAACGAAGGGAACACCCGTTGTGGCAGCTCTCGGAGGGAAGGTCTTTCCCTTGGTCTTCAAGGCCCCACGTGGTCTGGTGCTGGGTCGCCTCTGCCCGCACCTGCTGACAGCCCCTCACTCCTCCTGCGCGGGGGCTCCTCGCTCACCTTTGGACCCACCTGTGCTACTACCTCGGTGCCTGCGCTTGTTGCCGCCTCTGGGGATACTCTCTCCAGAGGCCCCACTGCCAAATGCCCCTCATCAGAGAGGCCCCCTGCCTGCGACCCACCTCCCTGTGCCCCAGCAGCACCTGCCCCTTCCCTCTTCTCGGCGTCACTTTCCCCAAAGCACTTAGTACCATGGACGTATCACGTGTTTGTAAACTGTGTGTCCCTCCTCTGGAGTGTAATTAACTGGAGTGTAATTCCCTCCCCCGCACCCAGAGTATTGCCGGGTGGGGCTCATGTTGCCGAGAGGTGATGTGGTTGTAACTCCGTCCACCTTTCTGTAGCGGACGGGCGACACCAAGCCCAACTTCTTCCAGGACTGCCTGATGGAGATCTTCGACAACCTGGAGCAGCACCTCCAGCACCCGCAGGTGCTGCAGTCCATCCTCAGCCTGATGGACCGGGGCACCATGGTGCTGACCACCAACTACGACAACCTGCTGGAGATCTTCGGGCAGCAGCAGAACAGGCCCATGGAGTCCCTGGACCTGAAGGACAAGACCAAGGTGCAGGCTGAGGGTCCGGGGCGGGAGTGGTGGGAGGGAAAAGGCTGGGAGTAGGTGTGAGGTCCGTCTTTGCGAGAGCCCCTCAGCTGTCCGCTCCTCTCCACCGTGAGACACGGCCCTCTCTTGGTCTGGACTGTGCGCCAGTCCCTTCGCAGGCAGCTGAGTGCAGGGCACCGCCCTCCCTCCCGGAGCTGCTCGGGGCCTGCTCTTGTCTTTGCCTTCTGTCCTGCTGACCTGGGGTTTCTCCTCTGCGTTCATTCATTGATTGTCGGAAGTCGCTAAGGAAAGCAGAAGCATGCAGTCCTAGTGCTATGAATTTTGGTTAATTTGTTTTTTAAAAAATGCCACAAAGTGGGATTGCAACATATAGAAGTTATTATCCTGATCCCCTTCTCCCCCCCCCCCCCCCAAATATTTTACTGTGAGCATTTTTCTGTCCTTGGCTTTTTTTTTTAATTATTTTTTTGCCTCTGAGATCATATTTCTTTGGGGCATGATCTCGCCATGTCTGCTGCTCTATATCCTTGGCTCTGGGGGTTCTGCTCAGCGAGTCTGCAGGTGGCTCTCCAGGCGGACGGTTGTAGAATTTAGCTGTAATTTATATGTGGTCGTGGGAGGAGGCAAGCAGTGTTTATCTACTCTGCCATCCTGACCAGAACTCCATTAAGCTGTTTTAAAAAACATGACTTTAAAGGACAGTATAATTGTAAAACTAAAGTATAATTGTTGCCTTTCCTCTCTTACTATTAGCATATTTTCAGCTGATCAATAATGCTGCAATGAAAATCCTTATACTTCTATGCCTCTCTGTTTATTTCTTTAGCATAAGTCCCTAGAAGAGGTTCAGGGTCAAAGGGTATGACCTTTTTTTGTTAATCCTCACCTGAGGGTATTTTTTATATTGTTTTTCAGAGAGATTGTAAGAGAGGGAGGAAAGAGGGTGGGGAGAGACAGAGAAACATCGATATGAGGGAGACCCATCGACTGGTTGCCTCCCCCATGCACCCTGTCCAGGGGGTGGGGAGGGACCTGCCACCCAGGTATGTACCCTTGGTTGGGACTCAAACCCAAGACCCTTGGGTGCACCGCTGCCATTCTAACCACTGAACACGCTGGCCACGGCAGGGTGTGACTCTGTTAAAGATGGTGATATAAATTAAATGGTTTTCCAGCAAGGCTGCCAGTTTCTAGTCCCACCAGCTCCCTGTGGAGTGTAGGCAGGTCCCGCTTTGCTGCGCTTGACACGTTTGCGTGTTTTACCAGTTGAAGGCAGGACCCCCCCACCAGCAGGAAGAGGACGGCTTGCTTTATTGCGGCGCTCGCTTTACCGCGGCGCTGCGGAACCAAATCCACAAAATGTCCGAGGGACGCCTGGCTCCCTTTCTCATGTCTTGCCAACTCTAGTTTTACTCAAAAACGAAACCCAGTACATTTCACCCACAGGACGGGTGAGCATTTGGCATTTTTGTTTTCCTTTTCACTCAGGTGGAATGTAGCTTCACTGAGTGACTTCTCTTCCGGCAGCCGTGTCCTTGGGTGTGTGCTCACGAGTGTACTAGTCTGACTGGGAGCCAGTATTGCTGCCGTGTTGTCTGGTTCGCTTCATGGGGGACGGCCTGGGCCCCTCCGCGCACAGGAAGCTAGAGGTCGCGACTCAGTCAGGCCTGAGTTGGCTGAGAGCGCGGCTCGCACCCGAGAGCTTCCCTTTGGGAGCCTTTCTCCCCAGCTGGGCCGAGACAGCAGCCGGGCGGCCGGGCACACGGGCCTGGCACAGGCTGTCCACCCCGCGTGGTGCTGCACAGCCTCCCGGTGCCCTTGCCCCCTCTGGACGGACCACCTGCTGCGTCCCAGCCACCTGGTCCCCCCGGGAGGCCTGCTCGCGGTGTAAGGGTGTCTCTGGGAGAAATGAGATGGCAGGTGGCGGAGATGTGGCTGCCCATCTGCGTGTTCTGGGTCAGAGCTGTTACTGTCCGTCTGTCTGTCTGGGTTGTCAGCAGCGCCTGCTGCGGAGAAAGCCCGGCATAAGCTGGAACGTACACGCTGTTAAGGGCCGTTGTTCTGAGCCTTGGACGGACATCAGTAGGGCTCTGCTAGTCGTTTTCCCGTACGCTTCTCTCTGGTGGGAACATCAGAGGCCCAGCAGCACCTGAGCTGTCCCAGGGAACAGGGAAGCGAGGTCCCCCCGCCCCCGGTCCCGGTCAGTCTCAGCGGCCGCTGTGATCGCCGGGGTGGAGGGTGTTTTCCACCCGCCTCTGCCTCCAGAGCCTTTCTGATGCGACGGGACAGGAGTGACTAGCGCCAGCAGCGGAGTTACTCTAGGCCTTAAAGGTATAAGCCAGTGGTCGGCAAACTGCGGCTCTCGAGCCACATGCGGCTCTTTGGCCCCTTGAGTGTGGCTCTTCCACAAAATACTGACTTCTGCGCATGGGGACACGAAGTCCTAAATTGCACTGTACGTGCGCGCCCCGCACGGGGGCATTTTGTGGAAATAGCCCACACTCAAGGGGTCCTAAGAACAGCAATGCCCACGGGAGCCCGGCGTTCCCCACCCCCTGTTTGATAGCTTTAGGGTCTGAGGAAAATCCCTGGGTGGGCAGGTAGTATGTCCCCAGGAATCCCCAGGTCCCTAGGAACGGGCGTGGAGAAATATGGTCACCTGGATTGCCCCACTTTTAACATTCAGGAAAATCTAGGGTCTCGGTATTTCACCTTAATTTTTTTAAAATTAGGTAAGTAAGGGTGTA